TTCAGCCTCCACAAGAGAAGGCTGAGGGGGAATCTAGTTGCCTGTTACAAACTAGTCAGAGGGGACCAGCAGGCACTGGGGAAGTCCCTGTTCCCCCGTGTACTACCAGGAGTGACCAGGAATGACGGTCATAAGCTGGCAGAGGGTAGATTTAGGCTAGATATCAGGAGGCGCTACTTCACGGTCAGGGTGGCTAGGATCTGGAACCAACTTCCAAAAGTGGTGCTGGCTCCTAACCTGGGGGTCTTTAAGAGGAGGCTGGATGTACACCTTGCTGGGGTCGTTTGACCCCAGTACTCTTTCCTGCCATGGCAGGGGGTCGGACTCGATGATCTGCTCAGGTCCCTTCCGACCCTAGAATCTATGAAACTATAATGGTGTATTGGGCGGGGAGATGGCGAGCTGCCGTTGCTGGGCCTAGTTGCCTGGCTCTGTGGATAGGGGTAAGGACTCCACGGCAGAATTGATATGCAAGGGTTGTGTGATTTTAGGAAACCACTGATCCAGTTAAAGAGGGGGTCACTGAGAGTTATAAGGCTGGTTGTAGTTTTGGCTACACAATAGCTGCCAGATTGGGCCCACATCCTGCTTACTCAGAGATCTGTGGAAATGATTCACTTAGGAAATTCAGAAAGCAACATGTAAAAGCTAGAAGGATACAGAGTTGGGTGTCTGTGTTAAGGCAATCCATTCAAGATGCTGATTACTCACTCTTGTTTGTCATCTTAACAATGCAAAAGAAACAACAAATAAGAAAATTTCTCCCCACAGCTGGAAATAAACTGAGAGAGAACTTTGCTAGCCCAGTCACTGAACCAAAATAAAAATGGATTCCTGGTTGCATGTGGTGAATACAAGCTTATATTCACTACATGCCTTGTGCTTTTATTCTTTGCAGGTCGAAGTCTGGGGCGAGACCAGAAAAGAGATCCTCACTTTTCATCATGAAGGTTTCTTTTGGAGATGTTGGTTCTTTGGCAAGGATTATGAGGAGACCATATGGAACTTCTGGTTCAGTGAGTGCTCCTGATATGGTTTCCAGCTTGGTCTGGAAATATTTTAATGGGCTAGGTCTAACACTGGCTTTCGCGTGTTCTTCTGAGCACGTTGTTGTAGCTGGAGTTTGTCGGTACTGCCATTATGAACCATCAGATTATATAATTTTACTGGGTCATAATTAATCTATAAATATCCAGTCTGAGTTGGAACTTGGTGAAGACATCTCTCTCAGATGAGAAGCTAGCTTTTGCTACATTTATTTTACTTTTCAAGAGATGCATCTGTCCCTTTTTAAATTACAGGTGGCCAAAACCTAACCTGAGGAGGACCTCTCTTTCTGTGCTCCCTTTAAGTCATAAATTTGCTCTCAGATGGTCTTTTGCAATCTTGTAGGAGCCATTTTTTCCCTTAAAAAAATAGAGGTGGCTAAAAAGCATTGGTGGGGGGGGTACTTGTATTGGTGTGGCCCTGATTCTGCCACACAGTTCAGTGGATGAGGATAGGATCATGGTTTACTGAACTTCAAAAAGAATAAGATAAGCACTAAATTATCTTTTAAAAATCTCTTTTTATATCCAGATTTATAGAGGGTTCCTAGTCATACAATTAATTATCATTCGTAAACCTGCTTCATTAAAGGATATGTATTCGGGTAGGACATGTTTTATGGCAACTTGGGTCTGCCATTTTGGTGACTTTCCTCATCCAAGGGCAATCCTCAGGGAATATCACTGAGATACACCAACCAGTGTTTCCAGAATAGCAGTATAACTCTCAGGGGTGTTGCGTTAGAGTGAGGCATGTACTTTGTGTAATAACATCATAGAAAATGGAACTGGTTTGTATTAAAAAGCTACATAGAGTAAAACAACCATCACCACAACCAACCTATAGACACTAGAGTTACTCATTGCTTATAGGCAGCTAGTATTTTCTGAATTGGTAAGGTCCCTCTCTAAAACATGTTTAATGAAGTGACTGCAAAGTGTGATCTTCTCATAGGAACTTTGTCATATAAGTTCACCATGTACTTCTGTCAGGATCTCAAAGTAAACCTTCAACCCAAAATGATCATTATGTCAGATGATTCCTGTTCATTGCAGACTGCTACACAGGTTGGTACACTAACAAGCTTTATGCAGTTAATAATTACAAGACCTGTTTTGTATTTTTAAAGTAAAGAGAATTTTGGTAAAAAATGCCCTGAGGGCCAGACCTATTCCCATATAAGATAATTAGATACTAAGTTATCTGACCTTGCCTGAAGCAAAATGTGGGTACAAACCACCAACTAAAATACTTTTAGTAGAAAGCCATTGTTAAATAAGTGGCAAATCTGTATGACTACTTTAGGTATTTATTATAATAGGATTGATCATGGCAAATTAATTTGCTGCTCTTGTGGATGTAATAATTAATTCAATAGGTATTTCACAGTCAGTTTAGCAAGAACTAATGTCCATCTAACACAAAGTGTTCATTGAGCTGGGGAACATATTTAAATAAGTGGCTAATCATTAATTAATTCATTTAACATTCATTCTATTACCATGAATCATGATAAACCTCAGTTGTATTAATATTGATGGGACACTTCCATTGTAATTGTGCTTTCTTTTCCCACAAACTGGAACTGTTGGACTGCAGGTAGATCTAATAGTCCTTTTCAGGTGGTTTAGCACATACTGTATCTGGGAGGAAAACAAAAAGCCAATAACAGGCCCCAGTTGGGGGAGAGTTCTCAATACAAACAGTTCCAGATTTTTGTCTGGCTCTAGTTTGTTTTTGAAGGATTTGTATTTAGAACACATTTGCACTCTTTGCATTTAGAACAGATTGGAAATATACTTTATTCCACCTCCTCTGACTCCACCTGGTGTTTTTGTGGGTTTTGCAGAACTAGCTGTGTTTATCGAAATATTAGTGGTTGTATTTCCATAAAATAAAAGCAAAAAGCTGTTTGATCTTCACTTCTTTTTCAGCTAACCAACCACACCCCAAGTTCTGCATGCACGGCTACCTGTTTCCTATGCCCATTGCTCTTGGACCTGTTCCACATCCTTCCTATGATGCAACTGCAGGTTAGTCTCTAACTAGTCATATTCACATTTTCTTTCCACAGAGTTAATGGTACATGGAGATGTGTGCCGCTGTACTGTAATTTACTGGGTGGCTTGGACTAGTTACGCTACCATGTAATACTTTTTCTTGGCCCTGCTCAGATTAGGCTTCATGGCCTTTGCAGGAAGAACAGGAACTACTTGTCCAGTGCTCCTCCCTGTGGTCAAGTGGCCAAGAAGGAAGCAGAGAGAATAAGGAGGAGCCATGGATCTACCACACTGGCTAGAGTAGGTGGCTGAGGACATCCAGGGGGCTGTAACCTGCTCTCTGTAAAAGACTGGAGTAATTTAATTTAGGAGAGCTAGCAAGCAGAGAGCACAAGGCTGATTATAGTTTAGTCCTAGGTTTAATAACTGGGCAGTATTGTTCCATGCTCATTTCAGGGTAGATCATCTCAGGAAGTCCTCAGTATTCACTCTGAGCTTTCATCATAAAAGAGGCCAGCTTTCTACATCTCTAGTTCTTTCTCCTATTGGTAGACAGTTTGCTTTTTATGGATTTTAATAAATAAGTGTAAACTGAAAATCACTTTGCTCTTTTTTCCCCATCTCTTTTTATTTATTCATTTATTTTGCACATATTCCAGTACACTTCTCTTCCTAAAAGGGTATAGAACAACCCTTTGGGCTAGCTGGTGTGAACCCAGAGCCAGGGCTCCGTCTACTCACTGCATACCCTTCATCTGTTTACTACCAGTGGGAAGTATCTTGAGCAGAGCATTGATGCTCCCTAAAACTAGGGAGTTGTGGCCGCAAGAAAAAGCATGTCCTTGATTCCCCCAAGCAGGACAGTAGTGGCAAGTCTAGGGATGGGTGAGCAAAGATGTCAGAATAATTTGCTACCCCCATGAAGTCTATGCCATGGCAGCAAAAGCAGCCATATTAGTGTTACTCTTGCAGAAGCAACTGGGTACCTGGATGCTGTGCTGCTGCTGTAAGAGCAACAGCTGGGGTGGGCAGATCACACCTCCCCACACACCTGGTTCCCAGAACCTGTGTTCCTCTGGCACTTCCCCACCCCCCTGCAGGTTTATCCCAGGGTACCAACCCTGTCTGTTTTGCCTTTTGTGTAACAAGAGCCTTATTCCGCTATATCTGAATACAGGCTTTACCAGCCTAGGCCTGATGCTTTGCACAGTGCCTGCCTCAGCACCAAGGGCGCTATCATGTTGATTTATTGTTCTTTTCTTTAAAGAAAAAGCAATAAAGACATTTCTTAAAAGAACCACATTAGGAAAGGCAAATGAATCAGTCACCAAAAAAAGAGCCCAAACTCTCAGTTATACCAACAAATTTGAATAGATTCCCCCCCACTGGTTTCCTTTTATTTATGTCTCCATATATTTTTGGAGGTCTGTAATGAATCAGCTGCTGTTTGGAATTTTAATTTGCTCAATTGGTGGCAGAAGACAGAATTAATTCAATGATCTTGTTTTTGAAATTAATTGATTTCTTTAAATAGTGTGTATCACTCTGCTTTGCCTCTGGGGACCCAGGGCAGGCATGGAGTACAAACAAACATCTTGACCTTTTCTTTAGCCTTTAGCAATACCTTTTTTATAATGGGGAACTAATTTAAAAAAATATATTTGTCAGAAAGAGCATCTGAGTGAGAGTAGCTGCCTTTTTTCCCCCTCTGCTATGTAAGATTTCTGCCCTAGGGAGCACACTGCAGTAAAATGGATATGATGCGTCTGTGACAGTAAATGAACAGCTCATTTCTGGCTCCAGCACAGGCTCTTTCTAACAAACACTATCCAGGCTAAGCAGCCTTTTTTTTAAAATTCTTACAAGAGAAAGTCTTGGGTTCTAGTTTCTGAATGATCTTGCTAATGAACAAGCTAATTTTTCTGTACTAAGTACAGGGCCCTCAAGCCATCTGTCCCTGTCTGTCAGTCCTTGCTATGAAACAAACTCCTCAGCTGCCTCTCAGGAATCTTTGCTTGGACTGAGGTCTGCAAGACTGTTACTGCTTAAAGTGCCATGGCTGAGCAAAAAAGCTGTCAGACCAAGGAATATCCTTAACTATAAACTCTGTTCTGTAGTCTCTGATCTGCAAAGAGAATTTTACTTGCCCTAGGGGATGCAAGATTGTGCCTTATGTTGGGTTGTAGATGATGCAGTGATGACTCCTGAGTAGACATGTTCTTCTCTGCATGGATTGAAAGTTATACTTGTACAGTTCTTACTCAAGTTTAGCATCCAACCCATTACTGGGCAACTGCCTATTGAGATAACCTTTACTATTTGTTCATTTGTACCCAGATTTAAAATACAGCTCAGTGGCTGCGTCTACACAAGATGCTTCAAGTGCAGTAGACTAATTCTACTGAGCATTAGTGCAGCAGGCAAAACCCATGTTAATGTGCTAATGTGTAGTAGAATTAATCTACTGTGCATTAGTGTCACAAAACAGTGTGCACTGGTGCTAATGCGCAGTAGCGCCGATTATGACACATTAAGTTTAGTACATAATTACAGGTACTAAATGTAATGCTCTGTAATCACAACACATTAATGAATGTGTAGATATACCCACTGTGAATAAGGGTGGCAGGATCAGGTCCTCAATTTAGTTTAATCCTCATCTACAAAATTGGGGTGAGTATGCTTTCCTCACTAGTGGTACTTAGGCTACATTAACTGACTCTAAAGCAGCAATTCCCAAACTGTGGGTCGCAACCCCAAATGGGGTCGCAACATCAGTGGATGGAGTTGCAAGGTTGGGGGTGGTGGGTTGGGAGTGAGGGGCCATGACGAGGAAATGGGGTCACGCTGAGGAAATGGGGCCATAAATGGGGTCATGCTGAGGAAAAGTTAGGGAAGCACTCCTCTAACACATTTGAGACCTGCAGCAAGATGGTACTAATTCAGTACATAGTATTATCATTTTATTTCAAGCAAATGTATGTTAAAATACTCGAAAGCTGGAGGATGCACAAGGAGCTACATTTGCTGTTGGCTATACCCAAATCAGTAGCTTATTAAGTAAGGGAAGTGTTTGGCCCTGTGATAGGAAGGTGATGTGCTATTAGGCATAAGGATTGTGGGTTTCTTTAAATGCTCAAGATTCTTATCTTTTACTAAGTGGATTCCATGTCAGGTTGATTTAAAAATGAATAAAATATGTTTGCTTTGTAACATTTTTCTTTCAAATGTGAATTGTTAGAGAATTACCCATTTTTTCATGCTTGATTCAACCCTTTGTAATTGCTACTTCAGAGAAAAAACACACAGAGTGAAAGCTGATAGCAAAAGGGGACAGGATAGCTCAGGAAAATGGATAGTGGGACACTTTGGAACTGTTCTGCTTAAAGAATACCCGCTATAAGGTACTTGAACAAAAGATGTTGGTTGCTCAGTGAAATAGGTTAGTTATCTGAATTTGATTCTGAGTAGTTGGAAAGTGCCCTGTCACAGGGCACTTAGATGCCTGCTCCTAAAAGAGCAGAAACTGCCTGGGAAGAGCCCAAAGAGCCAGACAGGTGCCATGGCAACCAGCTAATGAGGAAATTAGCCTGCATCTGCACTAGTCAGCTGGCCGGAAGGGGCAGGGCCTTGGCCCCATATAAACCCCACGATGGGGACTAGGAAGCAGTTCTCTGCTGGTGGCCAAGGGAGAAGGAGCCCTTGTGGAGTAAGTGGAGGGAGAAGGCCTAACTGGGTTCTGCTCCAGGTAATGTAAAGGGGCTGAGCACACCTTATGTAGCTTGTGTTATGTTATAGCCCAGGGGCTTACGTTTTGTTTGCCGTTTTATAAGACCGGTGGTTTGGGTGATGCTATTTAGGGAAGGAGGAGGCCTCACTTGGGGGCACAGACCCTGGCGCCAGAGAGGGCGCGACATTTTGCGGTGCACCTACCCTGGCACTGAGGAGCACAGAGACAGGGCTGTAGAGGGTCCAGTGAGGACAAGGGGCCAAATTATAATGAGGCCTAGGCAAAACAACACCAGTACCATCTGCAAGGCTTGGGGCATGGCAAAGGGGAGGTTGGAGCCATGCATCTAGCCCATAAGGCTAGGGTGCCCTGAAACAGCCATTGTGGAACAGGGGTCCAGGAACCCACTGGGTTCAGAGAGTCCATCAAATCATGTCTAAGAGGACTTAAAGGAAGCCTCCCTATTTTTATATTTTCCATCAAAGACATGGCGGTTGAGAACTGAGGGTGCCCATTGGGCCAAATTGGCACAGTCGAGGGGCCTTAGGAGATCATGGCTGTCCTTGAGGACCCCATCCTGTAACATGCCCCTAACATACAAATAGCCTGTCTGGTCTTTGCTAGCAGTAGAAAATCCAAGACTCAAGATGCCAAAGATGTTAAATCCCTTCCCTACTTATGATCCATCTTGGATCATCTAGGAAGCAGCCCTCACAATTAAAACTGTTTTATGCCATGCCTTCATGACCCACTTATCAGAGCTCTGGTATTTAGTCCAGCCCTATTTCTTACGGCATGAGGTATAGCACAACACAAAACCTAAACTTGCAAGTGCCAGATATACTATACTTATTCAGTGGCACTCAAGGGAGTTAGTAACATGCCAGACACATTTCTTCTGAACATGAACAACAGCTCAATAAGTCTAAAAAATATTTTTAAAATGGTTCATAATCCTGGTATTCATTACAGCAAGGTTATTATTTTTATTGTCACTGAAATTGGAGTTACATGCTTCAGTTTCACAGACTTCTGAAAACTGATCTGATTATGTGGGTTGATTTTTCCTTTCCTATAATTCTATTCTTTTCGATTGTACAGTGTACAGAGGCTTCTGGACTGCATTTATCATGGTAGCTGTCGCTGCCAGTCTGGTGGGAGGATTCCTGTTGGTGTGTGGTGTGCCCTTTGTCAATGCTAGATTTTATAAAGTAGGAGGCGGATTCCTCATCACATCTGGTAAGCTGCCAAGTCATGGTAATTGGATATACTAGTGCCTGGAGTGCTGAGACCAAATCTTTCTTTGTGTGTGCGTGCATGTGTGCATGAAAAGGGTAGGAACACTAATAATGAGACACTACAGCAGAAAGATACGAGCTCTGGTAAATTATATGTGCAATAAATTTAAGGGCTGACTTTGAATAAACTGTTTTCCCCTGCAATGCAAAAATAAACTTTTATGCTTAGTCAACCTTTGGAAAGATACTATTATTTAGCCATAAAAAAATTCTTTCTTTCAGAGATTTTTTTCCTTTTCTATTAGATTCAGATCCTGCTATGCAGTGTAGGGGCAGACCCCTAAACCTAGTTACAGTCTATGACCATAGCATCTTGTACTGTAATTAGCTGGGCCCCACTTCAGCAATTTGGTCTTCTCATTTGTACTGTTTCTTTTAGCACTGGGTAGAAATCAGTACTTGGGCTATCAAACGCATTCTAAATGAAAAAAAAAAACTTGGAGGTGCTCAAATAAAATGACAAAGTGTCATCACATCAGGAAAATAAGCTAAAATATTTGCCTATTCATCTTCCACCGTAACATTTGTAATTACTGAATTATCGATAGCACCAGGATTTATAACATTTGGGGCTTTTTTTTCTCTCTCGCGCTCGCTCTCTCTTTGTTTTGAGAATGATTTAGTTAGTATAAATGTCCACAAGTAATTTAAATCTTTGACCCAAACTTAAAAATAATGCAGTGTTTTTGTTTGTTTGTTTGTTTTTATCTGAATAGTTAAAAATGTGATGTCTTGGAAGTCTCCAGTAGGAGAAGCTGGTTAGTCAAGTGTTTTATTGGTGCAAAACTGTTATTAAGAGTTCTCCAAGTCTCTTTTCTCTCAACACAAACAGGATGGAGTGTCTTTGCTTACTACCCTAAGACCCATGGGGATATAAAGGCTGTGCTTATTCTCTGAAGTAAGGGTATATTTTCAGTGCTTTTTCAGGCCATATCTTGTGCCTCCTTTGCCTTTTCTTTTAGTTTCTCCAGATTTTTTTGTGTCCCTTTCACAGATGCGCACACACACACATCCCCATTCACAAAACAACAGTTAACTACACTTTTCTGTCCACACATGCCTTTTATTTTTGACAGTAATGTGCTTGTTTTTAGGAGTGGAAGCTGCAGTTTATCTTAAATAAAGTTTGACAGTAGCACCCAATTCATCATAACAAAAACATGTAACCAAACTTTGAATATTTTACAGAGTTTGATAGTAGAAGTTTGCTTCAAGTTAACTCTTTTTCTCTCTCACATTTTAATGAGGGGCTGGGAGAAATATTGCTATAGGGTCTCTTCTGCAAACATTTATTCAACAGTCTTGCTCTATGGATGTGAATAGCCCCCTTAAGTTAACACACCTATACACTTGATCTTATGAAAAGTATTATGATTAAGACAAACAGATAATTTTTGTAAACTGTGCACTTTGGCTATTCTACTTATGCCCCAACTCATCAAGAAATATAAGCATGTGTATAGATTGAAGTACATGAACACTCCCATTAAAGATGATCAAAAATAGACTATGAAATCTGCCATTGCTTTCAGAGCTGAAATAAAATAAAATATTGTAGATAGAAAAAAATCACAGTAAAATTTATCACTGGTATTTTTTTTGACCACTTTTTTTTTTTTTTTTTTAAAAAGATCAGGAGAGAGAATTTCATGATTTTTAAAATAGCTTGGTTATACATTACAGAATCCCTTGGCATTAGCCAAAGGTGCAGCAGTTGAGTAGAATGTCCCATTTAAGCAGCAATCATTGTTATTAACCATAGCATTAAACTAATTCAATACTTTGGGAGCCATTCTGATTAAGTGTCTTTCCTACAAAGTGACTTATCACAGCATTTTCCATTTTAAACAGAAAGCAGAAAGATTTGAAAACCTTGCAAAATGATCATTCTGGTCATACTTCCAGCAAAGTTTTACTCCAAAGGTTCATCAGTTAATTTTTGATAAGCATCAAACTTCTGGGTTCTTACTGAAATTGAATCTCTGAACTCTTTGGAATATGTCCCTCTGTAGCTATTTCCTTTATTTTTATTAAATATAATCCTTTCTGAAAATATTTTGCAACCCTGCCATTCAGTAGGAACAACAGACCACAGATGGTTTGACTTCCTATCCAGCTATTTTCCTCTGGACAAATTTCTGTCATCCAATCATACAATAGGAAACTTACCTTCTAATCATGGCCTGTAGGTCAGTTTTAATTAACCTTCTTCACAAAATGCTTTCTCTTTTAATAAGTATGAAAACATTTACACTTCATCGAGAGAGAGTGTTGTCCAGTGATTATATTTTCCAGCTAGGGCTTGGGACTCCTTAGTTCTGTCTCTGCCACTGATTCACTAGGTGTCCATAATAATAGCAAGCCATTATTAATAGGCCTGGGTGAAGCAGGAAAAATTCGATTCAGATTCAGCTGATTTGGAGGGACAGTGATTTGATTCGGTGATTTGAATCACTCTACCAATTTGATTCAGCTGATTCAGATCTGAAGATTCAGCACCAGTTCAGAGATTTGGCCACAGACTAAATAGGCAGCAGTCCTCGACCAAGCTGGACACAGGTGCCTCCAGCTGCTAAGTCTGTTGCGGTGGGCAGAGGGGGGAGGGAAGGGGCATGAGGGGGCAGATCAACACCCTCACAGTGAGGGAGGGATTGGGGCTGGAACAAATTGCCCAGCCAGGCCAGGGGAACATACAACTTGGGGAGGGGGACTCCTGCCACTGAGCGGTGCTGTGTACCACTGGTCCGGGAGGGCATGAGAGTGGGCATGGGAGTGGGCATATGTCCCTGGATCTATGTGGGCTGGGCTGGGCTGCACTCCAGATGGGTGATGGAAGGCTCTGGGAGTGGGGGCAGCAGGGGTGTGATAAAGGCATGGATCACTCCAGGCGGAAGGTGCTGCAAGCAGGGGCTATGCCCTCCTGCCACTTGCCCAGCCCCAGGCATGGGACAGTGCTGCTGTGCTGCCTCAGACAAGTGGTGGGCAGCAGTGGAAGCTGCTCCAGCCTCCCCATGCCTCCTGGACAAGCAGTGTCAGGGCATGGTGGCAGGCGCATGCACCCTGATTGGGGAGGGGATGGTGGCAGGGGCTATAGGGAATTTTAGGGTGGCTGCAGCCCCCCCCCATAGCCCCTGCTCCACTGCACTCTGTGGGGTGGGTGGAGGCAGGGCTGTACTTCAGGCTGCGGCTGGGGCTAGCCAACCTAGACTGCAGCCATGGCTCCACCTGCCCTGCGAAGCACAGCCCGGCGGCGGGTGGCTGGGGCTAGCTTCCCAGAACACAGCCCAGCCCACCCTGCACAGATCTGGGGGCACACACCCACTTCCGTGCCCTGCTGGACTGGCGGCGTGTGGTGGCACACAGTGGTGGGAGCCCCCCTCCCTGAGTCCTGTGCCTCCCCGCTCCGGCTGGGCAGCTTGTCCCAGCCCCAATCCCTCCCTCGCTGTGGGGGCATTGATCTTCCCTCCCCCCTCTACCCACCACAACAGACTTACCAGCTGTGTCCAGCGTGGTAGAGGGTTGCTGCCTGTTTAGTCTATGGCTGAATCTCTGAATTGGCACCAAATATCTCCAATTTGATTCAGACCTTTTAATAGGTCTCCTGATTTGATTCGGATTTGGCCGTTGAATAGGGCCAAATCTCCTCTGAATCGAATCGGCTACTGAAGCCTCACGCAGCCCTAATTATTAAGCCCTTAACCTACTTGTGTTTGTTTACTCTGGTCACATTTTCCTACATCAGGGAGCTGTTTTGAGACTTAGGTAATATGTGTAAAGCAGTAAACAGTTTCTTATGGAAAGGGTCTGAGTCTACCTGAAGTATAAATATGCTACTAACCACATTTATTGGTAGTCAGATTTTCCTAACTTTCTCTCGGAAAGTAGATCACTTACCATGTGCATTTATTATTGATCTATTTAGATTTATACTACAAATTGTTCCAGTCTTCATTCTTTTCTGCCTCTTACAACTAAGTAAAAATGCTTTCAGTTTAATCGCCATCAACTATAAAACTGAAAGTAATCATTTTGCATCAGGTGTTGTCAGACCGATCTTAAAGGTCACTTGGCTGCTTTTCCTTAAGGATAGCACTGGCACTGAAGATGAGGCCCCTATCTTTAAATCATGAGATTGGTACCAGTAACCTCTGTGTTCCTCCATCACAGGGGCAGGGGAAATTGAATTCAATGCATTGGATTCTTCTAGGTTTTCTCGTCAACCACTCTCATTTACTGTACCTTCAGAGGGCAAGTCGGGTAGCTTACCATCTACTATAACAAATCTAGTGCTCTGTGGGTGGTATTCCTGAGAGGTCCTTCAGTAAAACCAACTCATCTTGTTTGATTTACTCTGCAGGGTAACTTGGTAGATAGAACCGGATACTGCTTGACATTTATTGCTAGTTTCATTTGTAGATATTGTTCTCTAATTTAACAGTTGTTCTTGCCAACCTGCTTCCAAAAGTGACTGAAACCCATGAAAAGCTAACCAGGGCATCATCTTTCTTCATGCGTGGCTTGCTATAGTTCATTTTAAGGCTTCCTGTTAGAAAAAAGACATTAACTGGTGACTAATTGTCACTTGTTTCAATAGTCAGATGAAAATATAATTAATTATAATTACTGTGTCACTAGTAGAGCTGAATGAATGTTGCAAAATATTTTCAGAAAACGTTATTAGACTTTTCACATTAATTTCCCCCTGCTGTGTCTGTGCCCCTTCTGTTTGTATAGTAGGGGTATTTTAGCAAGCAAGTTTAATGGTAAGAATTTTCCCTATAGAACTGATCCTAAACCATTGCAATCAATTTCATTTTATTTTGTGAAGTGAGAAAGTGACTGGAAGTCTAACTGCTGTGTGGAGTAGAGGCAAAAAAAAAAACAGTTTGAGGGAACAGAAAAAGCAAAAAGGGAATTCTGAGAATGTCTTAAAGAAAAGGC